CACACAAACAAATGGATTCAACATACAGTTTATTTTTCAACTAGCTTAGTCACTAAACATGAATGTTTTAGATTTAGGACTTTTCAATGTCATTCAATCACTAAATTACCAATCATTTCCTAAGAATTTAGTTGATCTTATCAAGGAAGTACACATGGATCACACTTCAATCATGCATGGTAGAAGTACTGACAAAGAAGGGTGGAAACAACTACACACCACCACACATGAAGAAGAGTAGTCTGAACAGATTAGGTATACTTTCAGATTTACTAGAAGTTGACAGGGAACTCATTGCAAATGTGGTGTATTATCTAAACACAATATCAGTCCTAACAACTGGTCAAGATGAAGCACATATGGAAGTGGATGCAGATTGAAGACAACAAAGATGCAGGAGAGCTTTTGGGAAACTCATTGACTGCCACACATAACCAGTAATATCTAAACTTATTTTTTGCTTTGTTTATGTACTGGTTAGGTGTATTTTGGTAAATACTTAGGACACATTCTTAGGTAGTCATGTATACAAGTTAAGTAGTGTTTTGTAAAAATGACACCCCTTTGACATTAATGAAAAAAACCAACACTTTTGTACACAATATCCATTGGGTAGTGTTAGTTTTCATCCAAAGCATCAATGAGTTATGGTAGCTCAATAAAAAACTCAATCAAAGGTAACCAGAGCATCCAACCTACTTAAATAGATATCAGATGAGTCCCTTCATCATTTGGATGTCACACAGTTAGATGCAATTAGGGGCAGGGGACTCAATGCATCAACTATATAACAAGAACAAGGGACTCAAGGCATCACAACAGAACAACCAATAGGCCAACCAACATGTTTGAAATAGCACCAACAGAACCCCAAGGGACTCAACCATCAACAACTAAATCATAAAATCAGTCATCAACTTCAATATCATAAATAATAGGCCACAACATTATCTACCTTAACACAAGAAGCACAGGGGACTCTAGCATACAATACTAAATCATAACATAAATCATCAACTTCAAAATCATATCATCAACCAACAACAACAACATGGCAAGTAACATGTTAAAAATCCAACAAAAACCACCATCAACATGCAACAGTTATGGTTTCCAAGGCAAATAACAATCCAAACCACAATTAACCAAAATTAAACAAAACATAAAATTAGGGTTTAAAAATTTACGCTGCCCAATTAGTTGGGGAAATGTAGTACTGGGGGTAGTAGATCTGAAGGTAAGCCATGTACACATCATCTGGCTTCAGACCTTCAGGGAGCCTAGATCTAACGCGCTTGCCACCAAAACTTGGCCCAGCAGAACTCCTAGCCATCATAGGATAGGACTCAGGTGGCTGGAGCACTTCACCAGCAGTGAGCTTAGGCAAGGCAGACTCCCCAGTCTCATATCCAGCGTCTAGGACCACTCTAGCAGGTGCAGCAGCCACCACAGCATCAGCGGTACCCTCAGCAGCAGGTTGATGGACCAGATCTACAGCGGGAGTTAGTGGATCGCCGTTCTTAGATCCAGGAGCCTTTGAGGGTTTCTCCTCCTTGTCGCTGGAGATATACTCTATGAGTTTAGCCCCACGGATCCTCCTCCTCACAATAATGGAAGCACGGAATACTAGTTTCATGATACCAAAACCACGGCGAGGTTTGTACCTCGTAAAAGATGGACGAGGATCGGAGAAGAGAGTTTTGTAGCAGAAGGAAGGGACTCGTAGCACTGGAGATCTGGGTTTTCATCGTCAGATGAAGCCATGGTGAGAGAAGGAACAGTAAAAGAGAGGAGAAAACCCAGAAACTGAAGACAGAGAAAGGAGAAAAACCAGAAGATGAAGAGAGAGAAAGAGAGTGTTTTGGAGAGAAAGAGAGTTCTTTGGTTATATGAAGAGGTAGGGTTTAGGTCAAGGGTGGGTTTTTATGGATAAAAATTCCAGAATTGAATGCGGACTTGACCATCTTCAACATGAATTGAATGTAGATGCATTCAATGAAGGTGGTTGGGAAATGGAGGAACTTAAAAGGTTGGGGTTAATTTTGGTGGGAATCGTTAGGATAAGTAATCTGATCTTAAACATAATGAAATTAGATTAGGAGTAGTAATAAGGTGTTAAAAAAAAGTAAGGGTAAAAAAATCATTTTGCAGGCTAAAACTTACTAAATAAGGAAATAAATTGTTGCATGTAATGTGAACCTTCTGTTTTAGGTAATTGTTGCGAGTAAATTGAACCGGAGGTAGTAGTTAGTTTTGATGCTTGACTAATTTATTTTCAAAATTAAAAGAGCCTATTTTGTACACCCGGATGTACCGTACACCTAAAGTTATTTGCTCATTAATTTTTGCTCATTTAATAACTAAGCAAATGACCTTGGGTGTACGGTACACCCGGGTGTATATAACAAATTCTACAAAATTAATAGTTGCTCTTACATGAGATAACCTAATATCATACATTTAACTAGAACAAGATATATGGTCTACAATCTCTATTGCTTGAGATTTTTGAGATTATTCTGTCATTGTCATAACATGGTTCCCGTTGACATAGATACTTCTTATACATAGCTTTTATTTAACATGTAATACATGATTATATTATTAAAATAACAAGACAAGGGTTAACCTAAGTATACACTTGGATAATCTATACATAACGATTATTTATAGTACATTATATTTTTATGAGAAGTTCTGTTTATACGAAATATAAAAAGATCTCTTACATAATACAACAATTACAAAATCTAAATGAGGGTGTATTAACGATAACAAACACTCATTTAAACAAGAAATTAAGTCATAGAATGTGATCACCACGGCTATCATAATGTAATAAAAATAATAATTAAAAAATCTCCGACTAATCAACTAAACATTCATGACAACAATTCAATGAACAAACAAAAATAATTATTCTTTACAAAAATCCTTTTGCAACTACTCAATCAAGGTCCAATCGATCTACTCACACCACCCCCCCGTGTGCATCATTATGAAATCTCACCTTATATTATAAAATGCAGGGCTTGCAGGAAGCACATGTGGGACAACCCACTCGTGCACCCATTAATTTATATAAATTTTTAATTATAAAATTAATTACAATTTTCTCAAATAATGTACATTAATTAAAAAATTTGTATGGAAGTTGAAATGTCATAATCTATGCACATAAATTCAAGGCTGTCTTGATAAAGATGTGTCTCGAACCGACTATTTCATCGGTTGTTGTAATTGAATCATTTCATATTTGTTAGTACCATTGAAAGGATTTATCAATGGATGCCGTGACCATTATTCATGGTAGGAAGAAGACAAGGTTGATGCACAAAATCTATGCATTTATGTCAACGGGAACCATGTTAGATCACTAGACATCTTAACATGTATGATTTATATATGGTGCATCGTACCAAGAAGTATTATTTGTGTTAGATAAATACTCTCTCCCCCATTCATTCGTTTTAATATATTACGGATAATACATACATGCATTGTAGATTAATGAAGTAGTATATTAGGGCGATTTTGCTTAATACAAATAATGAGTTTATCTCAACTATTTGTATTAGATTAATTAATACACTCTCCTTTATCCAATTATTTTTATTAAGGATAATACATACATACATACATGCATTGTAGAGTAACGGAGTATTTTAGGGCAATTTGCTTCATTCATAATCAGAATAATGAGCTTATCTCTAGCTATCTATTTAAAATCATTGTCTAGACTTAATTTGTTGTACCTAGCTTGAAATAAACTTATTAGAGCTATATTGTTGATATATAAGATATGAATTGAATTTAAGTTGCCTTTATTAACCTTATTTGAGCTATATTGTTGTTGTTGTCTAAACTCATTTATCGTCGATTAATTTCAATTTGTATTCATAAGCCACGAGCTTAATTACCCTTTTTTTTTTGTTTTACACAACACGAGCTTAATTATCTTTTCTCTACGTTTTTAACTTAATTGACTGTAATATAATTAAAAAAAATAAAACCCTAATATTTTAAAATTTTACAAAGAGGTAATTTAAATAATAATTTACAAATAGAACAGGTGTTATGATATTTGGGGGAAGGGTGAACCAATATTTTACCAGTTAGTTTGGTTTCAACCAAAAATTCCAAATTAATTAAAACATCTCATTTTTTAGCATAACTTTCCCATGAATCATATTTTTAAATATTAAAATTAGTATTTACAAGCCTAAACACTCACCCAAAACCCTAACATAAATCTTAAAAGCTTAAATTAAAAAATAAATAAATAAACATCTTAAGAGTTTTTAATAAAAGCCTAAAAATTAACATGTTATAACTCTAAAGGAATTAATTATTTATATAATTTCATGTAATTCTTTTTTTTTTCCTTTTTGAATACCAACACCCTTAATCCGACCAGGCATAATTTTCAAATTTATACATATAAAAAAAAATCGAGTCCAATTCAATTCAAATTATTTATTCGATTTGAATTAGATTAGACTCTAAATTTAAGCTGAAATACCATCATCCTCAGTCAAAGTTGATATATGAATTATGTAAAAATTAAAAATAAAATAAAATGAAATCTTGCAAAATTTTGTCCTTTGTAAAAGATCATCCATATGAATCATGAGTAATTTAACTTTAATTCGAATTTCAATGTCTGAACTTGTATAGTTGTATGTATAAAATATTAAAGGTAGGGACTATATGAGATTAAGCCCATTAAGGCTATATTATTAGTTCAAAAACATGCAAGTATGATAAGATAAACCCCCATCATTATGGAAGGCCACCCTGGCTTCACATGTTCATTGGTCACCACATTAGACCTCGATTATTTTTCTAGGCTAATACTCTATTATATTTCTTTTTGGTACCATTAGTCTAATTATTAGGCCTTGATGTTTGTATATATACGTGATCACCCTATATCACATTTGTATAATTAACCTTACAACAACTAAAAATAAAATCTTTGTGTTTCTTTCTTAAGTAAAATGGCCGGTTTCTTTCTTAAGCCAAGTACTCGAGGCCATGCTCGATCAATTAGCTTACCGGCGAGATCACATCCTACAACCCTCAAAATGGAAGAAGAACTTAACAAGCTTCGAAATCTTGAATTTTCTTCGTCGAATTCACTAGCACCCAATAAACTTGGCCTTGCCATATCCGGCCTTGCGGAGCTCTACAAGTCTATAGGAGATCTTCTTAAATTACCTCAAACACAAAATGCCTTAGCCAAACACGACGATTCCTCTTGGGTGGATGAGCTCCTAGAGGAATCGGTATCATTCCTTGATGTATGTGAACACACAAGGGAAAATTTGTTCCTTTTGAGGGAAAGTATAGGGAAGCTTCAATCGAGTTTTAGGAGAAGAAATAACGGTGGGGAAGTAGACATCGATGATGATGTTACTAAATACGTCTCTTTTGTTAAGAATTTAAAGAGAGATATGGGCAAATCCCTTGTTTTTCTAAAACAAATTGACATCAAATTGTCTGAATCTTTGTTATTCAATAAGGTGAACAACGATCAACACATCGTTGCAGTGGTACGAGTTTTAAGGGAATCGAGCTTGATGTGTAGCATTATTTTCAAATTGATTTTGGGGTACTTTTCGGGTACAGCTTTGCAGCCTAAGGCTAGCAAATGGTCTTTAGTGCTAAAAGTTGTGCATAACAAAGGTCATGTAGGAGATGACCTTAATGATTTGGAGGATGCAGAAATCGCGCTTAATAGCTTGATTGTTCGAAAATTGAGCAAGCAAGGTACGGGGATGATGATTCAACTAGCATGTAAAAAACTACTAGCACTAGATACAAGAACAGAAGAAATTGAGAAGGATCTCGAGTGTTTGTTTAGGCAAATGATACATGCACGAGTTTCTCTCTTAAACATACTTTCGGATCATTAATTTAATCAATTAGGGAGTAATATATTCTCGATTAAGATTACAATAATTTTTCTCAAGGATGAATTCTATAAACAGTATCCAATTTTTGGAGGATCTGTTACACGAGTGTTTTAGTTTTTTTTCTTAAGTTATTGTTAAGATAATTACGTCAATTATGTACATAATACTCACAAGGAAAAATGCAAAATGAAAGGAAAAAAAAAAAACTTTGTATTTTTCTGATAGATCGACTAGTTACATGTAATCCTTTAGAGATTTGCATAGATTTATGCGTATTGTCTAATCTATATAATACTTTCACATTTGGTTTTAGCTGAATTTCTCTTAGCAGTATAGCTCGTTTAAATGTTTAATACCAACTTCAACCAGTCTTTTAAAGTTGGCTTTAATAATTCTGATCCTAGACCATACTTCATTTGTATATTGCAGTGTCTACAGATGTAAATCTTTTGACCATTAATGTATGTCCTTGATGTCATAGTACTAACATAGTAATATTTATAAAATTGATGACATATATTGTGAAATTACAAATTTGAGCGAACTTGACAAGATCTCAATTGATAACATGTTTTTTTTACTAGATGCTTTGTAAAAATAACAATGTGCTAGGGTTGAAGTAATAAAAGATGGCAAATTTTTAAATGGCCTTAGTTCACACTAATTTATTTTAGACCACTAACATTGTAGACACTATGCTTGTTTTATTTATAAAAAAAAGTCACTATATTAAAAAAAAAAAAAGGTTATTATATTGAAATAAAAGTCATTGTGGTAATATAAAGGCTAATAGAGGTCTTTTTTTTTGTAATGAAATTTTTTACATAATGGTCAATATAAATAATAAAGGTTGCTATGTTCAAAATAGGGTCATTATGTTCAATATAACGTCGTACTTCAGGTTCACAATAATATTAAAGGTCACACAAGTTTAAATAAAGGTTACTATGTTAAAAATAAAGTTACTATGTTAAAATTAGGGTCACTATATTCAATATAATGTCAGTTGTGTGCGTATAAATCTCAGATCCACAATAATTATTATGGACCAAGTCCACGCAAGTTTTTCCCTTAAAAAGATTTAATTGACATACGATTATTTAAAGATAGGAAAAAAATAAAAATGGGAGTATGATAATTATTTAAAGGGAAAATAATAAAACCAACTATTTATTACTATTTACTATTTATGTAAAAATTCGAAGAATGAATATTGATCTACCTAGCTTGAATCTACAATATGTAAAGCTCAAAATATATTGTTATGTGAAATCTTATAAGATTCACTTCTATGTATATTTTTAAAATCGCATGCCTATGACGTAATGAATAAACACTTGTATTGGATGGTTAATAAAAAAAGTAGATATATATTTTAGAAATTTCCTGTGATGTTATTAATAAACACGTGTATTGGATCATAAAAAAAAAAAAAAGTAGAGAGAGTGATATTGCGGGAAAAAGCATCTATTGTTCCCAAAGCCATCTACTCCCATTGTGTTTTTTAAATGTTATATATCCTTTTTCGCCAAAAAGCTATATTTTAATATTATGATTCTCTCCACTTATAATCCTCACCGAATTTTATTATTATTATTATTATTATTATTATTATTATTATTATTATTTCTTTCCTTTCACATTCATAATTTTTTAATAATCAAAAAATTATTAATTTCACTATCTTTCTTTTATAATTTTTTAATCTCCAACTACCCCACTATTACCTCTTATTCTATTTAAGTCAATTAAATTGCTTTACTATGTGGCGGTCAAAGTGTAACATTTTAAAAAAATACGAAGGGATTTATATTATACTGTGTATAAATTATTTTGGCGTATCATTGTATTTTAAAATATAATTAACTTATTTGACTATTACTTTACAATAATAAAGAATAATCATGTGCGATTTTATATAATTTATAACAAATTAAGTTTTCAAATGTTAGATTTAATGAATTTTATAATATATACGAGACATTGTTCATATAATTTTGTATTGAAAATCAAATAAATGAAAAGTACTTATTTTCTACATTTTTTGTACATGGTAATGTTGTTAATAATTTTGTATCATTCGCATACTCTAATTAATATAGTTACATTTGATAATTGTATTAAAAATGAAACAAGGTAAATTAAAATATGATTCTATGGTTGTCGTTCGAAAAATGACAAACATAATTTTTTAAAAAAGAATGGTTAAAATTAATTGATTTTTGAAATATTTTTACATGTTAATACTAATTAAAAATCGATTTAAATATTTCCTAATAAAAAATATAATTTATTTTTCTTGATTTTTAATTTAATTAATAATCAAAACAGAATTTCATAAATTAATTTGAAAAAAAACAAAATTAAAATAATTAGTTTCCAAAAGTTTAAGTTGTTGTTAGCTAAAAAAAACCCTAGCAGTCTCTATTCTATTTTTTCTCTCTAGGGTTTTTCATGAAAAGAGTTTCATAGGGCAAAAATGGTCAAATTTCTACGAAAATGTGGCTATTTTTTTACCCTTTCCCTTAAGTTTCTTATGTTTTTGTTATTGAATTCAATTAATCTACATTCTTTGAAGGTAGTAAGTAACCCTACAGTGCGTTTAAGTGTAGTAAGTGCCCTTATGGTGAGCTTTGTTTAAATTTTATTTTTCACAACTACATTTTCGATCAAATACAACGCCAAAAAATGAGCTATTGCAACGCCCTATCCAAATGCCGTGGCAATAGATAGCCTATTGCAACGGTATTTTTATTGTCGTTGCAATAGAGTAAGCTATTGCCACGGAGTTAAAACTAATGCTCTTAGAGGTAGAGCTATTGTCACGGCTCTAAAGAACCGTTGCAATAGCCTAGCTATTTTAACAAAAATGAAAGCTAATGCAACGGTGTTGTTGTATCAAATGAAAATTTCAGATAAAGCGCGCATTGTTCCCTCTAATTTTTTTCACCAAAATTTTGAACAAACACACGTGATGTTTACCCCAATTTTCTCACCTAATTTTCTCACCCATTTTCGTTCTCCACTCATTCTCACAAACTCACAGTACCTATATTCTCAGATTTCTCACCCAATTTCTCCATTTTCTCAATTTCCCCCAATTCTCCATTTTCTCAATTTCCCCCAATTCTCTATTTTCCCCATCATCTCACATTCAACTCCAGAAATTCACAATACCTATTCTAAAAAAATCACGAAAAAAAATCAGTCAAAAATTCGAAGAGGAAAATAAGCAAATAATTACGAGGAAGTAGTAGACGAAGGTGGTGGCTGATAACGGCAGTCAAGCGGTGGTGGCGGCAGTCAGGCGGTACAGACGGTCTCAATTTCATTGTTGCATGTCCCTTCCTTGAGTTGATTGCTCGAAATTCTCTTCAAGGTAAACAACGAATTTTCGTTTTTGGAGAATTAAATTTGAAGTTTTTGCTTTTGTGTTTGGGAATTTGTATTTAATGCCATGGAAGATGAAGTTTATGCTTTGGTAACTCTTGGAATTAAACGGCTAATGGGTTTCGTTTAGAAAAATTGAGATTTTTATTTTTTTTTTATTTTTGAAACCTAGAAGTACTGAATATTGTAATTGAGTAGTCTAATGGGGTTTTTTGGGGGGAATTTCATATAAATGGATAAGAAGATATATTGATTTGGGGTGGCTGATTTGGTTCATGGGGTAAGACTTTAGTGATCCAAGTTTCTAACTATTTATTTTTGATAATTGGTGGCCGAAATTTGTTTTTTCATAATTGCATGTGTATACAACTCAAGCTGTTAACCAACTGATAAGTCGTGGGCCAAGTGTAAGATTATTAATTTGATAGAAGGTGAAAGAAGCTAAAAACAGAGTATGCAGAGATTTAATCACTGAAATTAGTGGTGGGCATTGGGCAACTTTAAATAAACGCATAGGGTAACTGGGATTTGAAAGCAGCAGAAGCTTTATTCTTGAGTTGAAATTTGGTCCACCATTGTGTTACTAGACCAAGACGAGAATGTCCATGAGGATGAATCAAACTCTTCTTCTTCTGTTAAACAAACTGCCCCAATAATTCTCTATTGCTACCATTTTTGTCTTACTGCTATTATCTACCCACATTTATAAAATCGTAATATTATTTTTGTATTTTCATTAGTTATTCTTTTTTCCGAGGTAATGAAAACGACCAACCATAAGGTCAAATTTCTAAAGGCTGAGGCCACCTTCCTCATACAAGTAGAACCAAGTCATTTTCAATATAAATAACCCTGGCTTAAAAGGTTGCCTTCTTAATTCTTACCTGCCAATAAAATAAAATAAATTAATGAATCATAATATAGTACTGAGTATCATGTACGCAGTTACATGCATCACCTAGCGCTAATAACATACAATATAAGATTTATACACTTAGCCCCAATAAACCTCATCAACAGAACATAAGATTAATAATTAGATTCATAATTGCATGTGTAAATTTTAGTATTGGTTGTTATATGTCGTGGGCCATGATATTGACTTCAACTGATAAGTATACTCTCTTTGTTTTCTTTAAGCCCCTTTGTGTATGTGTGGGGGGGCTTTTGGACAATCTTAAAAACTAATAGTTCTTTTTGTGGGTTACAATGACTAGTCGGAGAATTGAGCTTCCATGATGCTGCTTTGCTTAATTGATTCCTTCTGTCTCTAATGATTGAGTTCTATTTTTTCAATTTGAAATATCTGCTTCTTCATGTATAGCTCTTTGCTTAGTCGTATGAGTGTATGACATCAAGCTGCCTCTATTCTTGTTATCAAAGTTTTAAGAGTATTGTTTAGAATTGTGGGATTTTGATGTCAAGTTTCTGCGCGCATGGTATGATGTTGTTCCTGTGACGTGATGATACTATAAAAACTATTTTTATGTAAATAATGCGTTAGCTTCATCAATGCTGCGTGAAAGCAAACTTGACCAAATAACGGTATTGAATCGATTATAAAGTTTCTTTTGATTTTTGGTGGCTCTTCTGGTCACTGTAAATATTTT